TTCATATTTTTATGACTCTATATCTTTTGAGGCTGAGAAAAAAGATAAATACATATTTCAAACTTAAAACTCTCCTTAAAAGTGTGTTATATTTATTGTTAGATAAGAAAGCTGCATTAAATTTTGTAGCTTGCTCCTTTCGAACAATCAAAACTGTTTTTGGGTAATCAACTTTAAAAAAGAGCTTAAACATATATACCAAAAAAAAAATTCTCAAAATTTCTTAATTATGCTAATAACAAAAATATCAAAAATTATAACAAATATCAAAATAAGACTTTAAGTAAAATGGAGTCTCCACAAAAGGGTTATGACATTTTCACGGTCCCAAGATTTGCAGAATTTTGTATATAATTTATCATCAACTTCTTTCACATTGTTGTGCTATAATATTTATTTGTTACCCTATTAAATAATTTTAAAAAATAAAGAAAATACAAAATTAGATGGAATTGAATCCTTCCAACATACAAACTTAAGAAAACCTAGAGTTTTAGCTACTTAAAAATTTTACATCTTTTGTGAAACTTAAGCAAGAGAAGCTTTACTGTGATCTAAAAACAACATTTTATAATTAACAGTTCAAACTCAACCGGAAACACATGAGATGAAAGCACTTCACACGAAAAAGATTTCAGTTGGAGAAATGTGCAAAATATCAAAGTACAAATAGTTACATTTTTCTCCTGTCTCTGCCCATAAGTAAAATATAGGAATCAGAAACCAATATCAGAAAATATCTCAACACTGGACATAAGTGACAACACACACAAAGCCCATTCAAATAAAGTGATGTTCGAATAAAAAATAGTAATTTTGTTCATGTGTCATCATTATTATCAATAGAACTAACTTTGAGAGTAAGAATATGCCAAGTGGACTAACATTTTTGCTGGAACTAAACTCCTTATTAGCTTGTTTTCTTTTGTTCTCGGCAGCGACAGGTGGGGTCTTGGATAAAACACAGACCACCATGTTCTGCACCTCGTTCACCGAAGCTTCTTTTGAACTGTTATAAATTTAGGATTCATCAGATCAAATAATAATCCATAATCAGATGATTAAACCTGTGTTTTTTGTATGTGTTCTTTTAAAGTTTCATGTACCTTCCAAAAGTTCAATCAGCTTGGCAATCTTCACAAGAACCAGGTGAACTCACGTTCATTGCCATGAGGGATTTCGACACCGTATGTCCTATAGACCATTCTGAATCATCACCAAGAGCCTACACCACAAAACAGAATACATGATCTTTTTGTAATAATTTTTTAAAACATATAAAACGCTAATATCTGACTCCGAAAACTGGTTCGGTTCATGACCATAATCTAGATCTTCATCACCAGCAAATGAAATATGTTGCATCGCAAGATGAAACAATAAAACACGAGCACCTAAGAAAGAAAAAACAAAAACAATCAAAACTTAAAACAGATGATTAAACCTGTGTTTTTGTATGTGTTCTTTTAAAGTTTCATGTACCTTCCAAAAGTACAATCAGCTTGGCAACCTTCACAAGAACCAGGTGAACTCACGTTCATTGCCATGAGGGATTTCGACACCGTATGTCCTATAGACCATTCTGAATCATCACCAAGAGCCTACACCACAAAACAAAATACATGATCTTTTTGTAATAATTTTTTAAAATATATAAAACGCTCTTATCTGACTCCGAGAACTGGTTCGGTTCATGACCATAATCTAGATCTTCATCACCAGCAAATGAAATCTGTTGCATCGCAAGATGAAACAATAAAACCAAGCACCTAAGAAAGAAAAAACAAAAACAATTAAAACTTAAAACAAATAAGAATCAATAAATTAAAAAGGCTCGACTCAACCCCAACTAATAAAAAAAGAAAGAAAAGTGCACCAAAACTGGCTAATATATAAAACATAAATATGATAGATAATAAAAAAAAAATCACAAATCTAAACCTAAAGCAAAAAAAAGAAAATAAAATGTTACCCTTCGGTATAGCAGTAAACTAAACAATCAACGATCAAGAAAGTCCCGCTAAAACACCACATCCTAAACAGAAAAAAAAAACATCAAACGTTATTATTAATAAGAAGAATTTATAAAATATAAATAGTTACCAACTTCAAATATACATCAGAACAAAATATATTCTTGAAGAGCTATAAAAGGGAAGACACAAGGTATCACCTAACATATATACAAAAATGTAGATCTACATGAATATAAAACAAAAATAACAACCGAATAGAAAATTAAACAGCACAAAAACTATTTTTTTAAGAAGTCACAAGATCACTAATGTAAAACACACGAAATATATAGTTTACATGATCGCCAAATATTATAACTGTGTAAGTGAAGAAAAAAAATTGGTTGAAAAATCTTTAAAATTTATGCAAATCGGATAATTCATATATATATTTTTTATTAAAAAACAATATCTAAGTATTTATCAAGACTTACTTAAAGATTAAGAGAGTAACATAACTATATATGATGATTTTTTTATTTTTTAATGTTTTTTATAATTCATATAAATATTTTAAAAAAAAAAAAACAATATATAAGTATCTATTAAGTAAGATTTACTTAAAGATTTATGGAGTAACATAATTACATATGATTATTTTCGATTTTTATTTTTTTTTTATAAAAATTAATTTAAATAAAATTAGTTTCGTTTTTTATTTTTGTTTTAAAAAATCGTGATTTTAGTTGTAAAATCGTGATTTTTGATTTGATAAAATCATAGATTTTGATCAGATTGAGATAACATCATGTATTTTGATTTGATTTAATTTAATATTATTACAACCTATATATAATCGTGATTTTAGTTGTAGATAATTTTTTGTTTTATTTTAAATTAAAAATAATTTTAAAGAGGGGTAAAGGGTAATTAGCCACTTTAAGATTATTTTTTTTTTAAAAACAATATCTAAGTATCTATTAAGTAAGATTTACTTAAAGATTTATGGAGTAACATAATTATATATGATGATTTTCGATTTTTAAATTTTTTTTTATAAAAATTAATTTAAATAAAATTAATTTCGTTTTTTATTTTTGTTTTAAAAAATTGTGATTTTAGTTGTAAAATCGTGATTTTTGATTTGATAAAATCATAGATTTTGATCAGATTGAGATTTATAAAAATTAATTTAAATAAAATTAATTTCGTTTTTTATTTTTGTTTTAAAAAATTGTGATTTTAGTTATAAAATCGTGATTTTTGATTTGATAAAATCATAGATTTTGATCAGATTGAGATAAAATCATGTATTTTGATTGGATTTAATTTAATATTATTACAACCTATATATAATCGTGATTTTAGTTGTAGATAATTTTTTGTTTTATTTTTAAATTAAAAATAATTTTAAGGAGGGGTAAATGGTAATTAGCAACTCTAAGATTCAATGAGAGAGCTTTAAACGAAATTTTTACTTCGTTTATAATATATATGATTAATCATCGAACTTAGTTTTAATCTTCCATATATCCTAGAAATTAGTCAAATATCTCGATGATCAGAAATAAATTAAGATTGAAGGAATAAATCGAAGAACATGCAAACGTAATATTACATAACTAATTAACTATAGGCATCACTTTTTAGTGTTAATTTTTTTTTTTTTAACTAACGGTGGTAAACAAAAGTAAGGACAAAATAATAATTGCATCTCAGAAAGCATAATAATCTCCAATGGTATCATATAATTAGTGAACCAGTGGTACTAGCTAGTGTGTGGTAGATCATTATTAATGGTTTAATGGACTTTTCTCTTTCTAACTGTGACAAACAAAAGTGAGGGCTTAAAAAACCATTTGCATCTAATGGACATTAAACTCGCATAATGAGCTACCACTAATTATATGATATCATTTTACATAATGCAGATTTTTGGACAAAGCTACAATTATCGATGGGATTGATAATACGTCGAACAAAAGTAGAAACCCATGGAGATTATGTCCCGTGAACCAAGTGGAAGAAGTAAAGCTAATATTGAGGCTCATACCAATTTGGATAAGCTTGATTATGTTTTGTGCCACACTAACTCAGCTCAACACATTCTTCTTAAAGCAAGGAAGCATGATGAATAGAACCATTGGAGATCACTTTACCATCCCTCCTGCTGCTTTCCAAAGCATTGTTGGTGTCACCATCCTCATTCTCATTCCTTTTTACGACCGTGTATTTGTCCCTACCCTCCGTAAGATCACAAATCACCATTCTGGAATCACTTCTCTCCAGAGAATAGGCGTTGGCTTATTTGTCGCTACTTTAAACATGGTAAAGTGATTTGTGGACTATTCTAATAATCAAATTATACATTTATTACCATCATTACGAGGTCTTGAATGATTTAAAGTAGTCAAATGATTGGCCTTGACAGTTTATGAAGTTGTGTGTTTTATAACAGATGATATGTGGGCTTGTGGAAGCAAAGAGACTTAAAGTTGCGAGAGATCATGGATTAATTGACTCTCCAAAAGAAGTTGTTCCCATGAGTAGCTTGTGGTTACTTCCCCAATACATACTAGTGGGTATTGGAGATGTTTTCACTATTGTTGGTATGCAAGAGCTTTTTTATGATCAGATGCCTGAAACTATGAGAAGTATCGGTGCAGCGATCTTTATTAGCGTAGTTGGAGTCGGGAGTTTTGTTAGTACTGGGATTATATCGGCCGTTCAAACAATCAGCAAAAGCCACGGTGAAGAATGGCTTGTCAACAACCTGAACAGAGCACATCTTGATTACTTCTATTGGGTAATTGCATTGCTTAACGCTGTGAGCCTCTGCTTTTATATGTTTATAGCTAACCGTTTCGTCTACAAGAAACTGCAAGACAAAGAGGATGATGATAATGATGTTGAAGGAGAAAGAGAAGTTTGATCAAAATGTTTTGAAACTATTAGAAGCTTCTTAATATTCTCTATGGAGGGTTCCATATCGGCCTTATGTTTATCTTAGTTTGTATCCAAACTCAAATGTGTAACAATTGATTGCTGTGGTTACCAAAAAAAAAAAAACTTTACTTCTCTTAGTGTTGTATCAAATCTACTTGTTACTGATACATATGCAAAGTGGAGATATTTGAAGATCTACAAGCAGCAAAGCTGTGAATTAATACCATTTCGAAGCTACAATAATTTACAGATTTAGGTGTTCCCTTCCGATCGGACAAAGCTAAGATGAGACAGGTAATTGCTTTCTGCTAAATCGTGTAGCGTGCGCCGGCTTCGTGTTGTCTCCTGCTCCACTTTCATGTAATCTCCATTCAATAATTTATCACTCCTTTCAGCATCCTGCTTAAGAACAAAACAAATAGGGGATTTACTGATCCAGTGATAGAAAGAAGATGACCCTTGTATAATATCTTATATTTCTTCACCAAATGCATACTTTATATCCAAGCTTTTGTGGTCTAATAACTTAATAATTACAGAGCAATGCGAAAAAAAAGCAACCGTACCTCTAGGAATCTCATCATTTGCTCTTCAATAGTGCCACGCATGGTTAAGGTTTCTACATAAATAGGGCGCTTTGCGCCCATCCGATGAGCACGACTGATAACTTGCTCTTCCATGCTGCTCATATTTTTCAACAGTTGTCGCAGTTAGCAACACCATACAATGGAAAAACAATTGACTGGACACTGAATTGTATGAAAGGCGTTGTAGTCAAGAATTTATATTTAACCACCCAATTTCGCTTTTAGATTTTTTTTTTCCCACACTGAGAGAAATAAATAGAAAGGCCAAATGATTAACGCCGGAAACTCCAAAATTTCAAATCCATAGAATTGAGGATTTATAAAATGAGAGATAGAAGAACATCAAGTTTTAAATTTTGCTACTGATATCTTGTCAGTGATTGCTGAATGTAAAATTGTTCAAAGTCATACCTTTTATCCCAGATTGGTTCCATCAGGAACACATGTGTTACAAAACTCAAATCAAGACCTAGCGCAGCACTTCCATCCATCAAAAGTGCCATGCAATCAGGATCGTCCTGGAACATTGCCAGGGAATTTATCTGAAAAGTTGAAATCGAAAATTGTTAATCTTCACAGGAAATCAAGACGAAAAAAACAAACAAGCATCAGCAGACAAGTACCTTTTTAGCCGAGTGCATTGGACTGTACATTCCAGCAAACTTTATGCCAGCAATTGTCAACTACAAAAGCGTGATATAAGATTGCTCAAAGCTTAAGACACGATTGAAAAGAAACAAAAAATAACCTTAAATACACGGTAATTCATACCTGTTGTTCAATTACGTGAATATGCTCAAGAAATTGAGAGAAAATCAAAACTTTATCAACAAGTGCCATCTGAGATCCAAAATCCTGTTCTTGTAATTCTTTCCCTAAAAAGGCTTTCGAGGTACCAGGGGGATTTTCTTCCAGGTTGTCATAGTTACTCTTGTTGGAAGAGAAAATGTTTTTTCTATTACCCTCACGTAATTTCCTCAGCCTGTCCACGAGATAACTGACTTTACTGCTGGACGTAGATTGCCAGTCAGGATTCCAGTCATCCTGAATAATAAAGAGAAAGCATTTGAGTAATATCCTCCAGGAACCAAGTCGTTAACTTATAAAAATGGTTTATTTATACGCATGTATACATACCTGGTTATATGAAGGCTGTAACTCAATAAGATCCTTTGGCACAGGCCATTTTGGGTTTGGATTTTCTGGTCGAGCCAACATTTCAGGAGTCTGCATCTCATATAAGTATCCACAACCAGGAAAAGTACACCTTTCGCTATCAAGAGCAACGCAATCAAGGCACAGTAGGTGTCTACATGGAGTTATTACAGGAAGTCGGCACCATTCCCCACATCTATTTATAAGATTGACGAACAAAAGTAAATTTAGATACTTGTGGATACTTGTGTCAAATGCCCTAAACTAATGACAGCATTGGATCAAAGACATACCTTTTACAGTTACAACCACTAATAAGGCTATCTTGAATATAAGAATACTCCTCGGTCGAAAGGTCCAGACCACTTTCTACTAAAGCACCCATTGTCTCTTTGATATCCTGACCTGCGTCAGTCATTTTAATATGCCCAGCCACACAGCAAGATAGTCTGACATTATTAATGGTAGCGCTTCGAAATTTCCACTGTTTAGAGTTAAGCAGACTTTCCACATGAGACGGGTCATTCCAGTCAGCTAATAAGATATTACGCCTCACTGTATCCACTAGTTCATTGTAGCTTCTTGCATGCCCTGTAACGAAATTAAGGTAGGTCAACTTCTTGATACACGGAGGAATCATCCGCAGATCTTTCTTTCTAGAACATATCATGCATCTCTGAAGCAGCTGAAGTAAACGTGAACGACCCTCCTCCATTTCTGCTTCAAATGGTCTAAGGATGCCAGCTTCCCAAAACTTTAGATTTTCTCCGTATACTTCCTCGTGAAGAAACTTTAAAAGAGATTGGAGATGGGAAAGCTGACTATTTGGCGTGTTAGGGGTTGGTGTTCCTGTCAGTAACCAACGACTACAAGCTGTCAGAGAAACAGCCATCTGAAACTTATTTGTCAAACTGAGACTAGAACCAAGAGTGTGTCCTTCATCTAGCATGACCCTCAGCCAATGCACTTGGATCAATGGGCTTTTCTTCCGAGGATTCCATTCTGCACTTAAGCGACTAAAAGTTGTGATCACAACATCATAGTCCCAAGCCAGGCTGTGCGGAGAAAGTTTCTTATGGTCAGTCCAAATGAGGATACGTAGCTGACCAGGGCTGACATGTTTTTGGATTTGTGTTTTCCAGTGATCAACTAAATTCGCTGGCACGACAATTAGAGTTGCTTTGGACAAATACAATCTAAATGCATCTAGCGGCCGACAGAGAGCAACCTTGAGGGCAGGTGAATCAAATACTAAGTTCTCAAGAAACTTTGGATAATACCATCTAGTGACACCTTTTTCAACCCTACACGTCAGACCAAATGCTTGAAATATTCTCTGAAATCCACGGACATCTAATGGTGGACCTTGTAAGCCAGCTGTTTCCATCTGTGAGAGCTTCTCAAGAGGGAGTTTAGCAAGCCAAATTAGGGCTTTCTTTACGGTCTTGTTCACTGAAGACTTGTTTTTCCTAAGGACACTGGTGAAGAAAGAGATATTATCTTTTTGTTCACCAGAAGTTCCCTTAGTATAAAACCCTTGCAAGTAATTTATTGGTTGAGATCTATCCCACAATTCTTCAGGATCCTTACAACTCTGATATGCAGGGTCACCATTGTTGCTACAAAACCATGCAGAACCAGCAACAGATATACCTTCATCTACTATTCTCCGCCACTTTGAGCAAGAATCACACTGTATCCAGATATCGTTTTCCTCATCCGAATCAGTAGGACCCTTTCTCTTACAACCGGTTATCATGCCACATTTCTTCCAATTCCTTATTCTTTTAACTTCCATCACTTCGGAGTTCTCTGATGCGCCATCATATGCATCCAAGAGATTTTTTCTGACTTTACTCAAGCTCTTTCTACGTTGATCTAATTCTAAACCCATGGAAGCACGGATGGGAGTTTCAAAGTCGTTTTCAAAGTCTGAGTTCTTCGACTCGAAAGTTTGACCATCTGGATCCATCAGCGTAGCTTGCTTAAGGGGCAACGATTTCGACTCCAGCAGCGGACTAAAGGCATCACACGACACCTGGCGTCGACTACTTGGACTTAGAAATCTCTTTACAGTAAACATGCTGTTAGAAGTCAAGTGGTCACTCGTGTATTCATAATAACCGCATTTTTTGTCATTTTTATGTGTACACCAAATGACAGGAAGTCCCTCAGGCGGATCAGCCATTGTTCCTAGCGTCTTTAGAATAAGGGACAATGCTGTTATCGTCTTACCTAGACCTGGTTCATCGCAAAACATTCCCCCACGGAAATCCTTAACCATAGGAGCTGCCTCAGTGATTATATTTCCAGACACAACATTTATACAGAAACTAAACCCATCCTCAGTATCAAAGTTCAAGTATAAGGGATGTGATAAAACTTCAGGTTTCCTCTCACGCTCCAACATCCAACTAACAGCGGCCTGCTGATGAGGAAAGAGTTTTAGATTCATACATGGCACAATTAGAAAGGCCAATGATCGTAAGAGACGGCAGACTCCTGCAATGCTAACAAGATCCTTTGGGTTAAGTTTCATCAGTATGCTAATCAAAACGTCATCTGAGAGATCCCAAATGCCAGATACACAAGAGTCAATGGATGGTGATACTCTCGAAGAATCAAACACACCATTGTTTCCTGGACTGGGCAAGCTCTTAAAGATTTCATGTATTTTAAATAATCTTCTTTCTGGAGAATCTGGGGCACTACAGTGTAATTTGCAATCAAACACATGGCAGTCAGATAGATCCCAGATGGCCTTTACTCTTCCATTGGCTTCTTCCCAAATACTTTCCCCGTTAAGGATTGAGCTTCTCAGTCCCCAGTCACAGCTGCAAAGAACTGAAACACATTATAAAACAAAACAAAAATGCGAGAGAAGTATCTTTTCACACCCATTCACAAAAGAAGTTTGCATTCATAACAGCAAATTCCCATTTGACATATAAGCATAAAGATCTGAAAGTGATACATAAGAAAAAGAAAACTATTACTCCATCCTCCACGGATACTCTCATGGAATTTCTAATAAAATCTGTCAGATATCCAATACAAAATATGTAGAGACGAAAAGGAGTCCAGCATATAATTCTTTCCCAAACATAACTAACAGGGAGAGATATAGGAGAAGTATCTACAGATACCAGACCATATAGTATCGTAAGTTGATCAGCTACCAAGAACAAGAAACAGCATTGCTAATATAAAACGTGAACCCTAATCGAACTATCTCACAGTAGACCTCCAAACCAAATACATGTGACGCACGCAGAGCTACAAACAAAACCTGATTTCTACTCTAAGCACCAGCACGTGTTCGTCCTAAACCTAACAACTACGGTAAACAGAGGGAGACTCAGTTCCAAAAGAATTACCTCAAGTGCTTAAACAACGCAGCAGCAGTAGCCTGACATTTAGGAAATTGCCACCCCGACCACAATGTAACAGGCAGGAAAACATCAACTAACACCACAGCTCTTTCTTCTCCATTCTCACCCTTATCAGCCTTCACAACACGGCACATGATCTTCAAACATTTTTTGGTGACCAAAGCGTGAAGTTGATGCACTACGCTTATGCTTCCATTCACCACGCCAAGACTCCTCACCCTCTTCCTTCCCCGTCCACTGCTCTTCTCCGGCTGGAAGCTTTTGCTCGCGGAGGAACCTCGTCTCTTCAATTTCTGAGATTTTCGTGCACCGTCTCTCTCAACGCACCTGTGGCGTTTCGGTGTAGTCTCCAATCCACAGTCTTCCATTGTTCCGCAATTCTCAACATCCCGATCTCCTTCGGCGGCGGCGATTTCCGCAATTAGGGATTTGGGATTAGAGCTAGGATTGATGAGGGATAAGAGCAAGCCGTTCTCCGATTTGAAACCGGTGAAGGAACCATCATTGAAGACGAAACAAGAGGAGTCCAGTGAAAGTCCATGCGGAGCACCAGGCGAATCGACGGAAAGAACAGCACAGAGGAAACCACAGAGTTTGTGATCAGATTCTCCGGGAACAGCCATCGGCGGAATCTAATCGACCGCGAAATTGAACAATTTAGGCTTTTATGATCTATTCTAGGAAAAATCTCATCGTTTGGTTTCTCGCTTGTCGACCTCAGCGAAAAAATTATCAGATTTGGAAGAAATTAGGCTTTTAAGGGTTTAAAAAAATCAAGTTAAATACTCCGTGTTAGGGCGAAAAAACTCATCGCTGGATCCTCTCTCATCCACCACAGTTCCACGTATGCTCTTTCAACCAATGATACAACTTCATGTGTAGACTTAGTCCTACGTGTAAATTACAACAAAATCGATTAGTCCTAAGAACACATGATAGCAAAAAATTCAACATTTAGGATAATTTTAGTTTTATCGATTTTTAGATAAATTTTATATATTTTGGCAATCCACAGACCAAGACGGATGATTAAGCTTCATCATCCAAAAGATGTGAGGCCATGGAGTTCTGTGATCAAACATACAAATACATAATCATATGAGATCAACTCTCAAAGCTTCAATTTTTATTCTTATCGAGTGACAAATCAACCGAGACATGAGTCTTAAATCCATCATCCTCACATAAATCACACAAAACTTCCACAAACTTATAGCATCAGGAACACAAAATCAACAATTCTCAGGATCTAATCTACTGAGAGCATTTCTCCAAGTATGCTTTCCAGCCTTCAAGTCGATACTCATGAGCAGTCTCTGCTGGTTTCTCCGCCTTTATGATCCCTCGTCCCACGATTATGATATCACTTCCCCTCTCACTAATCACCTGGAAACAAGAAAAGAGCAATGGACCTTCAAATACTGAATATGTATGGAAGATGAGTGTGTTAAGGTTGGGAGAGTGACTCACAGAGTGTGGAGTGTTGTATTGCTGACCAAGTGCATCACCACCTTTCACCATTTGAACACCAGGCGTTGCATGAATCATAGACGGATTCACATCTCCGCATTTCCAAGACGCTGGATTAACCGAGATGAATCCAATTACAAAATCCAAATGAGCCTCTGCGATTTTCACCGCTGCTGCAGTGTAGTCTCCTGTAGCAAGGTTACCTGCAGAGCTCATTTCAGCTAGCAAAAGCAGACCCTTACCACGAGGCAAACCCTGAACCATAGTAAAATCGAGGAATGCCTCCAAAATATCAGCAAAAACCAAAAAAAGAATCAATAATATAGCAAAGAGAAATGGAAAATACCTTCAATTTCAGGCCATCCACGATTCCTGGCCCCGATATTATGTGAGCGTTTATAATATCAGCCCACTCTAATATTTTAAAGACGCCTCTGCAAACAAAACCACAACAGAGAGATTTTTTTATGAAAACTTGAAAAGGTTTTTCAATGAAGGCTAAGTGACATAACGTAGCAAAAAAATTACCCTTCATATTGCATTGTGACAGTGTTACCAATGTCTGCAAACTTGCGATCCTCAAATATGAGAAAGTTGTGCTTGTCTGCTATCTGAAGTAACAGTAACAATATAAATCGATGAGCATCGAAAAGTGAAAACATATCCCTAATCAATAACAACAGACTTCAGACACATATTATAATGTAGAGGTTACACAATCTTCAATTTATATGCCAAACCTATCCAAAAAACATTTCCAAAAACGTGTAAGAATAGTGTGAGCAAATTGATTACCGCACGGAGTTTAGAGCCAAAGTCAGAGGTGAAATCAGGCAGAATATCAACATGAGTCTTCAAGAGACAAATCTCTGGTCCCACCTTCACCAACACAAACATTTATATATTTATCAGATGGAAATTCTTCAAATTTTGATACCAATTCGAATAAAACCAATTCTCCAACTCCAAGAATCGAAATTTAATGATTCAAACCTTATCGGCGATGTCTAGCAACTCGGCGGCGGTTCCAACATCGGCGGCTAAGCAGAGATTGGTTTCTTTCATCATCATAATCTCAAACAGCTTCTTCCCCATCGGATTCTTGGAAATCTCCGACCTTTCCTTGAACCCTAAAACCCTAGCTTTGATCTTCGGTTTCTCCACGCTCGGGACACTAACCCTACGGTTCTCTTCCAGAAACTTGAGCAAATTCGCTTCCACACCTTCTTCAATCTTCCCCTTCTCCTTCAAGACCCTAACCATATCCGTCAACATAATCATTGAATGGAGCTTAATCCCATTCTCCGCCAGATTCTCCCTGCCGCCTTGTTGCCTGTCGATAAGAACCACCGCGTCGCTAACCTTGAGACCAACGGCACGAAGAGGCGTCGCCGTCTCGAGAACAGAGGCGCCACTGGTCACAAGATCCTCGATAATGAGGCAAGTTTGATCCTTTTCGAAGATTCCTTCGATTGCTTTGGATGTGCCGTAGTCTTTGATCTCCTTACGGCGCATGAGCATAGGGATGCCATTGGAGACAGAGACGACGGTGGCGATGGGGAGAGCAGTGTAAGGTACGCCACAGACGACGTCGAAGGAGGCGGAAGGTGGAAGAGATGAGATGAGAGTCTGAGAGATCTGCGTTAAGAGGGAAGGATATGAGACGATGAGACGGAGGTCGATGTAAACTGGAGAGTAGATTCCGGATTTGAGCTTGAAATTGCCGAACTTTACGGCGCCGATCTCGTGGAGCTGAAGAATCAGTGACTCCATGGCTGACATTTTTTCGCCTTTAGTATCGGATTCGTTTGCTCTGAGGTTTTTGGATGGTTTTTGAGAGAATTGAGACTCAGCAATGACTGCACACTACAGAGTGTGGGCTTTTAATACCTTAGGTTTTTTTTTTTGGGTTTCACCGTTTTTTTTTTTGTCAAAAAAAAACAAAGTAATTACGAACGTAAATACTAAATACTATACTTTACTTTTTCATTTAAAAATTAATGTTCACCATTAATTTATAATCATCTTCTACAATTAGTCTTTCTTATTAAATATAAGTAAGTTTTAATTTTATAATAACTTGGCAAAATAATTAAAATTCAACTGAAACTGAATTTGCCCAAAAAAGGACTTTAGTCTTAACATAATCATACACAGACAAAGAGACCTGTTCTGTCTTAAAAGGGAAATAAAAAAGTACAAAGGGAGATGATGATGACGATGACCACCCATCCCACACAGATTATATATGTTACAGGTTGAAGAAAAGGTGTAAGTAATCTAACATACAACAAAGATCACTTTCACTCATGATCTACATCAAACCAAAAGTAGAGGTAAGCCTTCGAATACATGACTCGAACACGCTGCAGAACCAAGTCTCCGCTCGTCGAAACAGCCTTTGCACCTCCCTCGATCCTTGTCTGCAATACGCTCACACTGTGTCCCTTGATTTTTTCAACAACAGCTTCCTTCACTTCCACGTGGCTCAAGATATCTTCTTCATTTCCTGCAGTGCTCACGATTGGGCAAGAGAGATGATCCAAAGGGTTTGTTTCACATTGAAGCACGCATCCATCGATTGTTAGCCTTCCACTCCTATGCAGCAAGCAGCAGCCGAGCTCGGCTTTCACTGTTAAATTCGCAAGCTTGCAGGTTGATAGCAATTCCAGGGCACTGCACAACAAAACCAACAACAAAAAAGCCGTATACCAAAAGAACTTTCTTTGCAATAGATACAGAAACACTAGCATTGCGACATAGAACAGGAAGTCACAAATTTCATTTTCTTTAAGCCGCAATGAAAAATGCGTTCTATGAAGCTAAACTCCCAGAAAGTAATAACTGTACAGTGAAAAATAACTTAAAGGGAATATGAGCTCCAAACCTGTCTGAACCTCGAGAACAGACGAGGGTGGTTTCATCAGGAATCTCACCTCCACCAATCTGAACAAAACACAGATGAGATAAAACTGAAAGATACTATTGCTTTATTGAAAATTGGTACTTATGCCTCAGCATCATACCACCAATTCCTCGGACAAGATGGTTAAATACTATTTCAGCCTCAAGACAGAGAGTCTTCCCACATAACCCACTGAAGTGTTCTAAGGTGCGTGCATCAGCAAATCCTAATTATATATCTATCATTCATAATCTGCAACTCCATTTGTTCATCCTACATCTTGTTATACTTTCAATAGCTTTTCATTACAGCTTACCTTCTTTCCAATGTGTTGCCCAATATGAGAAAAGGAGGATTACTAAGACTCAGGCGGCGGAGAATCCCAAAGTCAGTGGATCGTGACTCAAAAGAATCCCAAAATCTTCTCAGATTTGGAATTCCAACTTAATTTGTTTTTTTTCAAGTTCTCACCACAGCCAAGGAATTTTAGCTATCAAGTTCTAATTCTTTAACATTCATTAGAAATATCATTGTTAACTTGTGAAGCAACACTCAGAAGAATTTACAAACTAGAACAAACAGCCCGTGGATAGTTTCCAGTTATGAGATTGAAAGTAATTGCGCGCTCTCATTCATTTTTATTTTGGTACCTAAAATATGGATCTCTCCAATGCATATTGACTTCCGATACCAAGAGCTACAGCATGGAATAAATCTCCATACTTTCATCAGAATAGATATATGGCTATAAAGCATTTAATTTACAGATGTTGGTATAAATACTGATGAAGTTAGATATATTATTTACTACTTTTTGGGATACTGTTGAAGATATAAAACATAATTTCTTGTCAATGGAAGAAACGTTCGAGATTAGACCAATTCACAATGGTACTTCTAGAGAAGATTATGGAAACGAAAGAGTATAACATGGAAATGCAAAAACTTCCATGAAATATCAAGCAATTAGACTAGATATATGATAGACATACCAGGCAAAGAGGCTTTTTAATCTGAATATTAGAAACACGATGATTCCCACCAGCTCCTATTAAAATGGTATCGCCGGGTCTAGAGGGGACAATTTGGTCAGGTACTTACAAAAGACGTGTACAGCATAACAGATAACATCACAAACCTCGCTGCAGATACGGCTGCTTCAATGCTGGGGTAAACTCCAGGCTTGGTTAAATCCTTCACAAAACGGTCAACACGAAGCCACAAGCGAGGGTGACACGCCAGATATCTCCATCTGTGGCAAACGAGTGCTGTGTTATACCTATCTGCAAACTCAGAAGAGATACACAAACAACAAACACGTTGTGATGCGCAACAAATGCTCCAACTCAATCAAGTCGCATGCAAACAAAATGTGAAATCTTTGAAGCTTCACACAACACGATACAGATCAAAAACATACCACGTCAATACAAAAAAAATAGCTGTCTTGCTAATAGTGCTACATTACTACAAAGCTGTATCACACCAACTCAAGAAGAACTGATAATTCATTACAGAAATTGAGGCAAATACATGAGTAGAATTCAATTATGATTTCAATAGGATATGGAAGTCTAAAAGTCGCAATTTTGAGCCACAGAATCGTAATTGAGATGTAGATACTCAGTTGAGAATCTAATTGAGGTCAATTGGGGGAGAAATGTAAGCAGCAAAATCAACAATGAATTCAATAAGAGCAAATTGAACAGAGAAGCACAAAAATATCAGTAAACCCGATAAATGAATGCACAGAAGAAACCAATTTACCTGGAATTGGAGATAGGAAGCTGAGGATGTGCATGAGACAACCATCATCGAGATTGTTAAGAGATGCGAGAAGTTCAGGTTTCATTCTCATCTTCATCCTCGGTTCGGCAATCCTCTTGGGATGTCTCTCGTTGTCAAAATTTGAGATCTTAGTAATATCCATGGAAGCATGAACCCTAAAGTCCTCACCGTCGTTAATATCAGCCGAGTCAATCACGTTCTGACGTCATTTCGACATTTTTAATAGCTTCTGAGCTTGAGCTTCCTGGTATAAACCCGGTCAAATGCTTTGGTATAAGCCCGGTTTATAACTAAAAAGTATTTTATTTTAGGTATAAATATAATTGCTTTATATACTAAAAACAATTTAATTTTGGCTCAAAACATCTTCACCGTTGGTGCTTGATGCAGTGGACTGCCCAGATCTCTCCAATCAGGAAAAAAAATAGGAGCCGGAAAGGCTAAAGCAAACTCTTTGTGACGAGAAAATCATAAACCTTTTTCTTCACTTCAACAGCAAAACCCAATCGGCAAAAGGAAGCTGAGGGAAAAATGGAGGAGAATATGGACGTAGAATGGAGCTGTGAAAATGGAGGTGCGTCCACTTTTAACGATGGGACCAACTGTCACTGCATTGCGAAGACTGAGGACAACGGTAGTATCGAAAGCAAGAGGCTTTACTTGGCTCGCACGACAGCCTTTGAGATGCTTCGCGACAGAGGCTACCAAGTTTCCGACGCCGAGCTCTCTCGCTCTCTCTCTGAGTTTCGTTCTGCTTTTGGTGAGAAGCCAGACCTTGAACGCCTCCGTATCTGTGTGTCTCTCCGCTCAGATCCCAATAAAAAGGTTTGAGCTTTTCTTCACCTCTATTTTCGATTATAGTGTTACTTTTTGGGCTTGAAACTGACGAAAACTTGAAAAAAGGCATCAACTTTTTGGATTTTGGGTTTACTTTTGGTTTTCCCTTGAAACAGAGGAAAATCTGAGAAAGGCGTCGACTTTTTCCGATTCAGGGTTTATTTTGGTTTGGGTTTGCCTTGCAACAGAGAAAGCTTTGCGAAAGGCGTCGACTTTTTTCGTTCTTGGGCACTTTTAAACGCCTGAGAATATAGAGGCTGATCAGGAATTTTTCACGTGTTTATTTTCTGCACGGAAATAAGGAAAATGGAGTTCGGCTTCTCTTTCTTTTCCTTTATTTCTGGTTTGCATTGCGTCTGGCTGTGCTGAGTTTAGAGCTTTTGTTAATGTTTTGTAAAAGCTGAAGGATTAATGAGCGTATTCATTTTTTCCTTGGGGACCAAGAAAAATTGTTATACCAGTAAGATCCCTCAAATGGTGCTTGTGTAGGTGTTCAATGGCAGATTGTGTGTCTGATTTTTGGAAGGGTTGGAGCGTTTGTGTGTATGATTTGGGGTTTGGTCCGTTTGGAGTCTCACTAAAATAACATTTTTTTAACAGCTAGTTGAGATGAGAAATGTAACCAACATTTCCTCATGCTTTACCTGTTTTCCATCAAGCTTTATCTCATTCTGAAATTGACATGGTTTTATGCAGATTCTTGTCGTGTTCATGGGGTCTGAACCAATCACTGTGAAATCAGTCCGTCCTATTCATAGTCAGATTTCCAGCAGTGAAGGCTTGCATGGTCTGATTCTGATTTTACAGAGCAAAATGAACCACTTTGCCCAGAAGGAATTGACAACCTTCCCTTTTACTGTTGAAACTTTCCCGGTAAGTTGTTTTTCGTTTTGAATTCCCTAGATATGGATCGTCTTGCATGATATTCGATAATGTGGATCGGAGCAACATACCTAACTGAACAGTTTCATGTTTGAATGTACCAACAGATTGGAGATTTGTTGGTCAACATCACAAAGCACACTCAGCAGCCAAAGATTGAGGTCTTAACAAAAGAAGAGAAAGAACAATTTCTGAAGAAACATGCGCTTAAGGACAAACAGGTCTGCTTAACTCCGGACAAAGCTTCTTTTCACCTTTTGTATTTTATTGTTTTAATGGGTGTTTTTTTTCGTGTTCAGATTCCTTATTTGCAAGAGACGGACAGCTTCGTGAGATACTATGGGTTAAAGAAGAGACAGGTAGTGAAGATCACATACAGTAAAGAGCCTGTTGGGTCTTTCGTCACATACCGATGCATCATCTGAAGAAAGGCAAATTCATTGCAGCTTAAGACATTCCTACTTATCCTGAAAATAGACTGATTGTTATGATTATAGTAGTTTATTTGTTCTTCATGACTGCTTACTATTGTGTAATAAGAGATTGAATCTGGTTTGCAAAGAAGAAAAAAACTAACAGCAAACTACACGAATTTTCCAAAATGTAGTTCTCATGGAGGTACGTGTAATAAGAAGAGGTATTCAACAAGTAAAAGAACATCTAATTACAAGAATAAGAGCTTCACATGATAAGAGTAAAGAGGAGATTGCTTCAAGAGATGCAGAGAGATGTTGTCTACTCTGCTGAATTCCTCAGGGTCCTCTCTAACACGGCAACCTGATTGATGACAAAAACAACACCTGAATATTAGTTACCACTAAATATGTATACAAGCTCTATGAACGTATTTAAAATGGCAATGGAAGCAAAATATAGTAAGGAATTATATACCCTTCTAAATTTCACAACTTTCTTTTGTTTCCTTGGGATACGTCAACGACCCTCTCACCAACGGTACTACTGGATCCTGAGTTAGGTGCGTTCCCTAAAGCAAGTGAACTTGCAGGTATTTCTTCCTCTTTTGCTTTGTGCTTTTTTGTGCGACTCTCTTGTGTGCTGCATTTAGGAAAAATCCCTTTTTCTTCAGTTCCCATCTTCGAAGAAGCCGGTGATTCTGGTCCTTCCATTTCCATATGCTTTGCCGCCGACATATCAAAAGGCCTATGAAAGAGCAAATGAGCCACAGTTCTGTCTGTGGGATTGGTCACTGTTTCTGTGTCTGGCATCCCGGCATATCTGTAAAAACAAAAACCAAAAGCCAGCTATGTAAACCACATTGATTTTAGTGATGAAGTTTATAAAAATCGCAATCACCTAACAAAGAATTATGACAGCACATCAAAGGGTGTTAATGCATATGCTTGCAGCATCCTCCAGATGGTCCTTGCAGCGTAAAGTGATCCATTCAGAACAAGAAAAAAAAAAAAAGCTAATACGGATGAATCATTTATTTTTCCCCATGCTCGAGGACCTCCTGTCTCATACCCCACATTCACAAAACTGTATGCGTGTAGATATGATCTAAGTACGAAGCATATACATACCATATTGATTAAAAGTGCATAAATTTCCTTACCTATATCTGGATTTTTCTGAGGGAATAACTTCCTGGTCATCCTGGCTAATCTTATTACTGTGTGCTGTATCACTAGTGTGATGTCTCTGACCTGCGCTATCAGCCAACCGGAATAAGCTATCCCGTATACAAGTCCTTATTCCCATATCCAACTGCAGGTAAATAAAGAGTATTAGTTACTCCCAACATAAAGGCCACTTACAAAGTACCGTATGATTACGGTCTTTTCTTAACATAACAAACCAATCAACCATTTTCGTACCTTTGCTACAACATCCTGAAGTCGATAAAGAACCGAGAATTCTGATGAATTATCAATAGCAGCAGCAAAGTTGCCAGATTCATCTAGTTCCAAAGATGATTTAGGATCAAAGGAAGGCATTGCAGTTAGCCCTTGAAGATTATTTTTGTCGACAAGCTGGAGTTGATTATCTCGACAACAGTTCTGAGTAATGGATGGATCTGCTACAGGAACCTGATGACGAAATTTCTCCTGTTGTCTCTGAATGGCAAGCATTGCCTGCATTTGCTGTCTGCGCCTGAGTTTTTCTAGTTTTTCCTGTGGCGTCATTGTTGAAGGTCGTGCAGAGGTATCTGTCCCCATGTTTACTGAGACAGCTGTAGCAGGATTGTAGGAAGGATGCATCAGCTGATTCTTAAAATCAGGACGTTGAATGGCCGAAATTACAGGCACATTAGAGTATGGATTTCTATGATTACCAAAACCAGATGTAGCCATGTATTGGTTTCGCATATGTGGATAGTGTGATGTCCCAGACCCTTGAGACTTACTCTTCAGATTAAAAGCCATCAAAGAGGATTGTGACGGTGCCAACTGGTTTACAAATTTTCCAGGTGAATTCCTAAATGGAGTCTGCTGACCGTATGGATCTTGAACTGCTCCTGCCTCGGAAGCCCCAGACATTTTCGAAAACTTCATCATTTTATTTTGTTGATATGGCTGGACATAAAAAGAATATGAAACAAATAAGGCTCAGTGGAGCTGTACAAATTGGAATGCTTAAGAATTAGAAGACATGATTTATACTACTGATCCGTATTGACAGAATCTATGTAGCATACTTTCATTCACTTTATCATAAACGTGTGAGCAATATGCATAGTACCTGGTCCTCAACTGAGAGTTGAGCCTTATGCTCACGATATTGCTCAGCCTTTGGGGTTACATGTTCACTCGGCACACTATGGGATAACGGACCATTGGCTTTTCCAGTCAATGGAAATTGCTGGTTCTCTTGTTGCTCGAACTTAGTCCTAATGTCCAATCCTATATCTTGAGAGTCCAAAATTGATGGTAATGATTTTGATGGACTATTGAGTACATCTTTAGAAGAAGACCATAACTCATCAGCACCGCTGAGACTACCATCGCCAAATATAGGGACATCATTACTGAAAAATCATCACTTGTGAGGATATTGTGTTAGATAGAGACCGATGTGCGTGAAATAACCATTGGTAGTAACCCTGAGATCAGTCAGGATGAGAACAAGATTTACCTGAACATTCGATCAAGATCATCAAAACTACCAATGTTAGCCCAGCCGTACTCATCAAAACCACCTTGCTCTTTACTCTCATCAGTGCTATGAAAAATATCAGGGCCTTTCCCAAGTTCAGACGTTTTCTCTGGTAAAACAGGGTGAGCACACAACTTCAACATGATTAGATTTGAAAGAACGTACCCAAGCAAAACATCACTGTTTCAAGAAACGCACCACCTCTCGCTGAATTATATCTGGCTGGCTCAGGTAAGCATTTAGAAAGTTCAGTCGCACTCGAATCTGGATCAGCTTCTCTGGCATTAGATAGCGATGAGTCAGGCCATGAGCTTATACAGAAATCTGGCTGAGGAATCTTCTCGTCGACGTTATGGCCCGAACTGCTCCCCAGTTTACTCTCATGGAGGTCATTTTTAGTCCCAGTTATCTCTTGTTCAGCCGGCTTAACTGTCTTAGAATCTTCACTCCGTTCCTTCTTGTTAAGTTGTTCACTTCTTAATTTAAAAGGCACAATATGGTCGTCTGTCTCACCGTCATCACCCCATATCATATTAGTAAGCTGAAAAATAGGTCAAGACCATAAAAAGGGCTCAGGCACAATCAAGTATTGACATCTAAAATGCGACCAACACTGAGGAAAATAGAAAATATGAGAACATGATGCAAGAACGGCTTATAAAGAATTAAAAATAGGCACACTTCCCACAAGATAAAACTGTTTGATCACTGAAAAGTGAAACTTGACTGATAAAAACAAGAAAACAGAGGTATTAATCCCTGTAAAAGACTGTCAAGGAAAAAGCCAGGAAGTAAGAAAAAGAAAATGCTTCCAAATTATTACTCCCTTCTCAAAGACACCTATGGAGAAAATCTCGCGCAGCTCTCAAAACATTTACCAGACTTCAATTTCACCGGACTCTCTGCTCAACCTCTTCTTCTCGTACTCAAACTACCTCGAGACAAGCTCAAATATTTATTTGCTATGTGCACAATGAGCTTTGTAAGAAATGCATTCAGAAAAGTACCAAACAGTCACAGAAATCATAAATCATCTCCTAGACTTACAGGGAGAGTGATTAAAAACCGATCGTTTTTAATCATACTGATTCCAGAGAAAACTCCATGTAAAGCGACAGATAAACATTTACCTCTTCTTCGTCCCAATCAAACATGACTCAATCGAATCGCGGACCCAAAATCAAGCTCCCAGATTTCTCCACACATCGCCGACTCCACCACGAAAGAAAGAAACAAAAACCCAAAACAAAAAAAAAACAATAAGATTAACAAGTAGCTTAACGTAATTCTCAAGAGAAAACGAAACCGATGAAAAGAAATTAATCAAAATTAAACGGAAGAAAAACAAAAACAGGAAGCTTTCAAAAACCTTGATTCAGAATCCTTCATGCTTCATCTAAGTCATGGGGATATGGGGAAAAAACTGGGAAAAGGAGTTACAGTGGAAAAAGAAAGGAGTTTTTTCTGGGGAAGAGTAGGGCCCACTTAGGAAATGTCACGTGCGGAACGAGTGGCGGAGAGAGAATGGGCGTCGTCAGGATGCCACGTCAGACTACAGAGCGTATCTAAAGATGTGGCTGAGAGAGAGAGTCACAGCTAAGACCAATAACGACGACTCGATTCTATGACTTTCACTTGCTTGCTTTCCCAGGTCTATTTTTTATTTGCCTCTTTTATTTTATTTTAATATTATCCGATTAGCGTTCGAGGAAAGAAATAGACACAGAAACACAAAGAGTATATATTTTCTGTTTTTATATTTTTTTTAGTAGGTGATAAATTAATAATAGTTTCGGAATTTTTTTTATTTGAGAGGCAGGAACCAGGGTTCAAATTTTAGATTTGGTGGGGTACATGTTCACAGAAACCACTAATTTAGCTTTTACTTTCTTTTTATTGAGATCCACGTTAATGTTTAAAAAAAAAGAAAAAAAACCAAAATACTTGGATTAGTTTGTTATAGATAATAAAAGAAAAAAATGATTAATGTATATTTGCAACTGTCACCATTCTTTTACATTTGCAAATGTTGGTGTAATTCTGGTTAGGTTACACTTTTGCAGTGTGCTGGAGTTAGTGTTTGCTGATATGAGAATCGGACTAATTGTTCACCATAGTTACGACATCAAAGAAATTGGAAAATAAGACTACATCTAGAAATTGAAGAGCAGTGAAGAAAAAATAATATCGAAGTCAAAAATCCTGTAGAATTTATGTGATCATGATTATGTGCATATGTTGACTATGGCTTCTTCTCATTTCAGTCATTTGGATCGGAATGAATGATGATAAAGTTTTGTGTTATCCAAAAAAAACCTACTGTATAGGAAGATGCGAAAAAGCCAATATACAACGTTGTATGCTATTTTGGTCAATGTGTAAATTAAGAAACGAAAAAAAAAAAACGAGACAAAAGCGGCGTGGAGGCCTGTCATTACATGCAGAAAGGCCACGTAATGTGACTCTGTTTTCACATTAACAGTGAGAAGAAGAAGAGAGAAGAAAGGAAAGATGACGCCGGAAAGCTTGATAGCATCGGCGTCGATCAACATAGGACTCGCCGTCCTCGCACTCTGGCTCTTCTCCGTGTTGAAGAAGCAGCCCCGCAACGCCGTCATCTATTACGCTCGCCGCCTCTCCGATCTCCACCGTCCTGATCTTCCTCTCCACTCTTCCTTCTCTCTCCCTCGCTTCCTTCCTTCCGTCGCTTGGATCCCACGCGCCTTCGGTGTCCCGGAGGACGATATTCTCCGCCGCCATGGCCTCGACGCCCTCGTCTTTATTAGGCTCTTCAAATTCGGGTAAAGACTCGATTTTTATCGTCCTCTGTTTTCCCGGTTTGGTTGCATAAAAATTTGGTCTTTGAAATGTTTTTGCAGAATCAGATTCTTCCTCTTGTGCTCGATACTTGGAGTGTCACTTCTTCTTCCGGTTGATTATTACAGTGAGTCAGATTTACCGACTCGAAGGGAGTATTCGATGGATGCTTTCACAATATCAAATATCACTCGAGGTTCTAACAAGTAAGCCTTTTGTGTTTTTGTTTTTTGCATCATCTTAAAGTTGTTTGTGTTCTTGAGATTTTTCTCATCTGTCTTAAAATGTTCTTAGGTTGTGGGTGCATTTCTCATGCTTGTGGTTCATATCATTCTATGCATTGTTTTTGCTGTATAAGGTAAGATCTTTTATTCTTGTCTAAGATGGCATAACGGCCACATTCTTGTGTCGGTTTCTGACAATTTTATCATCTATTTAATTGGACCGGATATATTTTCTTATAGAATAGGCTATTTACTGGATCCTCCCATCTAGGAATACAAGGAGATTCTTGTGAAAAGGCTTCAACAAATGAGAGAACTTAAGCATCGTGCTGACCAGTTCACTGTTCTTGTTCGGCAAGTTCCTCTCTGTCCTGAGCATAAGACTCGTGGCTGTGGTGTTGATCACTTCTTCTCTAAACATCATCCTTTTAGTTATCATTCCCATCAGATGTTGTACAACGGGAAAGATCTTGAATACCTCTTGGTACGGTTTTGAAGAGTGGTGGTATCATCTTTTTATATTCTAATGGTTTTGTTTGTTTGATATCATAATTGTTTTGTTTGTATGAGGACTTCTCTATGTCAAGTTTTAGCCCTCCCCTGCAACCAAGTCTTTATATTATGATGGTAGGATCGTTTATGCAGGGGAAGCAGAAGAAGCTTAAGAGAGAACTAGAAGACAAGAGACACACACAAGACCATAAGCAGATATCCACATCTGAAGAAAAGCTTCAAGAAATTACCCATAAGATTATCCACCTTCAAAGTGAAACTATGCTCAGAGAGAAGGTACTTTCTTGAGGTTAGAGACTTAGAGTTGATGGTTAACAAACTTATGCTTTGTTTTTACAGAATTCTAACTCACTAATATTTCCTGTTAGGAAATTTTCTTTTGATCCGTTCATCCGTTGTATTTAAAACTTAATAACTGTGATCCTAGAGTTATAATGACTTGCATTGCACGAATCCTGAAGATTAGTTATATGATGATGATAGTAACATCTCAGTGGTCTATAACTGAACTTCCAGAGAAAAACTTTAGCAAGAGACTGTATGAGACAGCTTGACCAAAACAGAGTAGTTGTTGAATTTGACATAATGCCACTTAGTGAAAAGCACGTTTTCCACTTTATTCTTCTCTACGTTTCATTAGACGTAGTAATGAAACGTGTTATATAACCTGTTAAGATTTTTGTACCGCTACTATATTTTTGCGCAAATTTTCAATGAAGGAACTACCTGTTGCGTTTGTCACCTTCAAATCCCGAAGAAGTGCCGCGCTGGCAGCTCAAACACAGCAACACTCAAATCCTCTAGAACTGATCACTGAAATGGCTCCTGAACCAAGAGATGTATCATGGAGAAATCTTGCTATTCCTCATAAGATATTGCCTCTCAACAAAATCGGAGTCATCCTTGCAGCAGCACTTCTTACAATTTTCTTTGCTATACCAGTCACAGCTGTCCAGGGAATTGCAAAGTATGAGAAGCTTAAGAAATGGTTTCCTCCAGCCATGGCTATCGAATTCATGTAAAGTGTTGTCTTCTCCTTCGCTACTATTGAAAACATAAAAGTTAACATATTGTTTGTTTCTTTGTTTGAAGATACAGTAGTAAGATAAGTTTGTTAATTGCAACAGACCAGGGCTCAGCTCAGTTGTGACAGGGTACCTCCCAAGCGCAATACTAAAAGGTTTCATGTACATTGTCCCTTACGCTATGCTTGGAATGGCTTATCTCGGTGGCTCTACTTCCAAGAGCAAAGAGGAGATAAAAGCTTGCAATATGGTCTTCTACTTTCTAATGGGAAACGTTTTCTTCTTGAGTCTCATCTCTGGTTCCTTGCTAGATGAAATTGGAGAATATTTCACTCATCCTAGAGACATTCCTAGTCACCTTGCTGCTGCTGTTTCATCACAGGTAAAGCCTATACGCTCTTCAAGAATATTTCAATCCCGAAATAGTAACTTTTTTCAACATAGTAACTTTGTTCAACATAGTAACTTTTTTTCTTACTTGCTTTTATATATGTATAGGGAGAGTTTTTTATGACATACATCTTGACAGATGGGCTGTCCGGTTTCTCTCTGGAGATTCTTCAGTTAGGGCTGATAACATTTGATATCATAAGATCCTACACTTATGGAAGAGGAGAAGAGAGAAACCCTTATCTCTTTTCATTTCCATATTTTAGGGTTATCCCCACAGTGTCCTTATTGATAATGATCGGTATGATATATGCAGTGGTAGCACCACTAATGCTCCCTTTCCTAGTTGGCTATTTTTGCCTTGGATACATTGTCTACTTCAACCAGGTCTAAGCTTTTCTAAAACCTCTCTTCTAAGATCTGTGATTGTTTTCACACAATGCATGGCATTCTTAACTAACTCTTGTTTTCAATTTCTTCAGATGGAAGATGTATACGAGACCACATATGATACTTGTGGTCGATTCTGGCCATTCATTCATCACTATATCTTCGTCTCAATTATACTTATGCAAGTCACCATGGTGGGTCTCTTTGGGCTCAAGTCAAAGCCATCAGCAGCAATTGCTACTATACCTCTTATATTGATCACTATAGCTTATAACGAGTACTGCAAGATCCGCTTCCTCCCATCATTCAAACATTTCCCAATACAGGTATTTTAGAGTTTTGAATATGAATCAAACTGGTTGCTAAGTTTTAAAGAATGTAAGTACATTGTTCTTTTTTTTTTTGGTGGTGCAGACAGCAGTTGAAATAGACGAAGTGGACGAAAAGAATGGGGAGATAGAAGCGCATTATGTTGATGCTGCAATGGCGTATAAACGATATCAACCTTGCTTAGAGCGTGTAAGCTTAGCGGAATCACCAGCAAACATGAGCCAACCATTGCTTGGGACAGACTCCATTTGATTTGAGACGAAAAGGTGAGCTTGTTTGAAACTCTTGTCTTTTTAGTATTCTAAATAGATCATGGATGCATGTAAAAGAGATTTTGAAGCTTCTCCACCTATGTCCTCATGTTTTAGTCACTTTGGATTAATGGTTTAGGGGACACAAGCTACATATATAATATAGAAGACTATGTATACGGACGGACATAAAATGTAGTAAATATTAGATATATCATATATGGTTATAGAGAAAGGTCGAGTTAGATTGAGAATGATGAATCTTTATAATGGAGACGAAAGATGATCCAAACTATAATGGAAAAATGGTACCATTGCTCTTCTTTCCACTCTTATTTGACATTTTTTTTGTAGACTAAAACATATATGTTTTTTTTTCACTCCTGCATTTATCTGAATTTGGAAGTATGACTCTCAAGATGAACAAAGTAGATGAAAAAAAATTGCAAGAATTTATCAGATTCTGCCGGACACTAAGCAAACGTAGAGACACCATTTTGACTTGTGGTAGACTTATCTTCCTCTAAGTTTACTAAAATCCCTTGTTTTGTCTTCCGCTTCCTCTCTTCTGCTACTTTTCTCTTCAGTGGCATTTTATTGAAACATCTGGTTTGGCTCTGTGTTCTTTAATTCTTCAATAATTTCTTGGCGAGCAAATAAACAACTCGCTGTCTCAAGATCAATTGCAGAAGGGTGGGTTAGTTTGGTTTGACTAACTTATTGCAGGAACTTGGTTTTCCTCTGGTTAACGAGATGGTTACCACTATTTTAAAAACAAATCACTCGATTTAAACCGAAAGGAAACCAGGTTTTGACCACTGTCACCCACCACCCTTGGTATATCGGTTCGGTTCGGTGTCTTTCCGTTTCCTAAAATTTCTATTTGCGCGAGTCCGGTCCAATTATTAAAGGATTGTTTTTTGGGCCGAACTGCTCTAGAAATTAGAAAAAGGTTATATGATCTAAATTCCACACTCACAGTGTATAACTTTTGGATTAGAGATTTATAATAATGGGCCAGATTTATTTGAATCATCGAATATAAAAATTTATTGAAGAAATTAAATTTATATTAATTTAATTGAAGATGAATAATAGATTTTTTGAAGAAAAAAAGTATAGTTTTCTAGGGATTTTCAAAGAGAAAAGTTGTTGATTTCGTGTAACTCAGAACTTCTTTTACCTTTTTCTTTGAAATTTGAACTATTGCCGCATATTTGAACTTCTTTTATACTTCTCTTCTTTTATATCGTTTTTGTGATCTCCGCGAACGATTCTAAATTATTTGTAGAATATCTTTGAATTTGATCAGATATTTTGGAGCTCAGAACTTGTCAAGTCGCATATACGAAGTAACATTTAGTTGATCCGCGAATAGCTTGATAGATTAAATTATGTATTGGGCTGATTATTAATTTGGCTCAATTTCGAATATTATTATAATTAAAATAAATTATATTTTTGCTGGATTTTGTGGGCCGGTTTGGGCCGGGCCGGATGTGAAAAATCCAGCTCCCACAGGTTAGGAAAACCCAATCTCTTTCATGGTTAGTTGAATCGATTGTGATTCTTCTTCATACACAACAATCTTCTTCATTACTTTTGCGCCGCGTTGTCTCTCTCAAAAATTCCCTCTTACCTCTCCATCAATTTCCTCCAAAGCAAGTATTCAATCTTAATCCGAAATTGGTTTCGCCATCTCTCAGGTTTGTCTCGAATCCCTAAGTTACTCAAGCGAACATTGATAAGTCTAAATGTTCCCGTCATGTTCGTATTTCACAGCTGGTAGAAAATTTACCTAGAATTGTCTGGGTTTATTTATCTTGGGTAAATGGTTGTGTTTAAAACCGGGTTTTTGGGGATGCTTTTATCGGTTAATAGCCACCGGATAAGATTGATTTGCATTTATGTTCTTACCAAGTTGGATCAGATATGCATCTATATCAGATCATGGGACATTTCTTTCACTTTGTAGCTTGTTAAACCTTCATATGGAAATAAATCTAATATCTTTGAGAATGTTGAGCTATTAGGGACATGTACATTCCACTGAATCTACTCTCATTTTTTGGTTTGTTCCTTTTGATTTTCTGTGGAGACAGTGGTGAAACGTTTTGAGGATTCTGTTGAAGATCCTCTAGGAAATGGAATGCAACAAGGATGAAGCGAAAAGAGCAATGGATATTGCTGAGAGGAAGGTCACAGAAAAGGATTACGATGGTGCTAAAAAATTCGCTAACAAAGCTCAGAACTTGTATCCCCAGCTAGATGGTTTGAAACAGTTGTTGATGACTGTTGATGTTTATATCTCTGGAGAGAAACAAATAAACGGAGAGGCTGATTGGTATGGTATCCTTGGTGTTGATCCTTTGGCTGATGATGAAGCAGTGAGAAAACAGTATCGGAAATTAGCTCTTTTGCTCCATCCAGATAAAAATAAGTGTAAAGGTGCAGAAGGTGCGTTTAAGCTGCTTTCTGAAGCTTGGAGTATACTATCTGACAAGGTTAGGAGGTTCTCATATAACATAAAGAGGCTTAAAGAAGCTCAACAAAGATTCACAACAACACAGAGTGGGATTCCACCAAGGTCTTACGGGTTTCAAAATGTAAAAGAGTTTGTGGTTTCGAATGCTAGGGCTAGAACTAAGCCTTCTGCTCGTATGGATAGATCCCGCACGGATCCGCCTGCTTCGGTTCAGAAGGAGAGTAGTACGTTTTGGACAATGTGTAACAGGTGCAAGACGCAATATGAGTACTTGAGAGTTTATCTTAACCAGACTTTGCTTTGTCCAAACTGTCGTGAGGGTTTCATTGCAGCTGAGAAAACTGCGCCTGCAAGTGTTCCGAAGCCAGCCAACCAACAGCAACGGAGTTCCAAAAATCAAGCTGCAACCAAAAACTCGTCTGGTGCTTCAACGGGGAGAGAGTCTAAACCATCTGTTAGCCATGGTTTTCGGTGCGAATCTTTGTCAAGGATGGACGGTTCTAATAGCCGAAACGTCACAAATCAAGCTACGAATGTAGTTCAGCAAGCACGAGATGGATTGAAAAGAGAGTTTGGGGAGTCGCAAGAAAGGGATACTGCTAGAGGATTCACAAACTCGGATCTGAGGAATCTTAAAAGGTCAAAGACCGATGATTCCCATATGTTTGGTCCATTTAATCCTCCCAAAGGAAATCCTGAAATGCTAAACATCATAGGCTCTCGTCATGCTACTCATATACCAGGAATGATATTACCTTGTGACATAACAAAAGCGCTTATGAAGAAGGTTCAGGAAGATATATCTAAGAGATTTTCGAAGATAGCCTCTGTAATGGTAGAGGATGTGAAAGCAAACGAAAAGGAGAAAAAGAGCATGAAAGCAACAAGCAAGATGAATAGCAAGGCAAGTGAGGTTGAAATAAAGAGTGGGCCACCCGAGGAAGTTTCCAAGGACTCAGAGATGGTTGACGAAGTAAATGCAATCGTTGTTCCGGATTCAGACTTTCACAACTTTGATCTGGACCGATCTGAAAACTCATTTGAAGACGATCAGATTTGGGCTGCTTATGACGATGATGATGGAATGCCTCGGTTTTATGCCCGCATCCAAAAGGTGATTTCTTTGAATCCCTTTAAGATGAGAATCAGCTGGCTTAACACCAAAAGCTGCAGAGAGTTTGGTCCTATAGACTGGGTAGGCTCTGGTTTTGCTAAATCATGTGGGGATTTTAGGTCAGGGAGGTATGAGTCAACGGATACACTAAACGCCTTCTCACATAAAGTTGATTTCACCAAAGGTGCAAAAGGACTCCTTCGTATTCTCCCCAAAAAGGGACAAGTTTGGGCATTGTATCGAAACTGGTCCTCTGAGTGGGACAAGGATACCCCTGATGAAGTCATACACAAGTACGACATGGTGGAAGTTCTTGATGACTACACTCACGACAAGCAAAATGTTACCGTGACTCTCTTACTTAAAGCTGAAGGATTCAGGGCGGTTTTCCGCAGGAGCACAGATCAGAAGGATGTGAGAAAGATTGCAAAGGAAGAAATGTTTAGGTTCTCTCACCAAGTGCCTCACTACATTCTCACAGGGGAAGAAGCTGATAATGTACCAGAGGGTTGTCTGGAACTAGACCCGGCTGCAACTCCTTGTGAATTATATAAGGTGAGTTTTTTATGACATTTATTTTGACAGATGGGCTGTCTGGTTTCTCTTTGGAGATTCTTCAGTCGGGGCTGATAACATTTAATATCATAAGATCGTACACTTATGGGAAAGGAAAAGAGAGAAACCCTTATCTCTTTTCGTTTCCATATTTTAGGGTTATCCCCACAGTGTCCTTATTGATAATGATCGGTATGATATATGCAGTGGTCGCACCATTAATGCTCCCCTTCCTTGTTGGCTATTTTTTCCTTGGATACATTGTCTACTTCAACCAGGTCTAGCTTTTTTAAAACCCTCTTTTAAGATCTGTGATTGTTTTCACAAAATACTGGGCATTACTAACGTTACTCTGGTTTCCATTTTTTTTTTTTCTACAGATGGAAGATGTGTACGAGACTACATATGATACTTGCGGTCGATTCTGGCCATTCATTCATCACTCTATCTTCGTCTCACTAATTCTTATGCAAGTCACCATGGTGAGTCTCTTTGGGCTCAAGTGAAAGCCATCTGTAGCAATTGCTAAGATGACGAAGTAAATTTCTAATCTCATTTAATTTTGCTGTTAAACAGAGAGCCTCGCTAGGGTAAGAGTATTATAGTACCTCCGAGTTAATTGCTTTGAAATCAATTGCTTTTCTACTCAGCTCGTCATTGCTTGGTTGTTTGTGTTCTGCTTTCTGTTGTAGTATTATATTTTCTTGTGCCAAGCTTCCACAACCGTGCAATATCAGGAATTTCTTGCTCGAAAACAAGTTTTGTTGCAAAAAAAAACGAATGAGAATTAGGTAATATGTTACAAGCCAAACCAGTCCATAAAATACTTCTGCCTAGGGACAAAACGATGGTAATGAAATGTTTCATCAAATTTGAGAGAAAAAAAAAGACCTAGTAATGATGTATGCACGATGAAACACAGAATGATTTGATTGGTTGTGTGGATGTTCCTCGTTATGACGTTTCTTCTTTATTGAATTTGAGCCTGTCAAGAATATTCTGCATTAGCTTCACCAGATTCTTCAGCTTGCTATTGTATTGATACAGTATCCAGACCAGCGAATGTGATGTTTTCAGGCTTTTCCTTCGATGTAGCACCTATACATGTTTGACTGTGCATAGACTTTATTAAACATAAGTAATTGAAAAAAAAAGAGAGGCTTCTAACAACACTACAAGGAATTATTGTTTTGTATGTTTTGTTCATTTGATATGCTTACTTGTGCTACTATGTACTTTTTGTAGGTGCGTTGATAATCTTGATCGAGCTTTTTTAGTCGCTCCTTGGCTTCTTCAACTGCTGCCTGCACAATAGAGTCAACGCAGGGTGATACCTCGCTGCAGTAAAGTTCCTGTGAAGTCTCTTTAGTATAGTTGCCTCCAATACTAACAACATTATTGGATATTTTGCTGGCATTGTTGAGCAGAGTAGTAATCTCCTTGCCTCTGGCTTTGATATTTTCAAAAGCTTCTCTTAACTCTTGAGTCTTATAATTTAATTAGCAAAAATGTTTTATATAAAAAGTCTTGTTTTCTTGTGTTATTTATATAAATCAATTATCTTTATAGACCCCGTACGAATCCGTTTGCATTATGTTGAACAGAGACTTGACTACTCATTTTCTGAGGTGCAACTCAAGATTTACACAGATATGCTGATTATGCCTCACAAGCTTCTCTGTGTTCTTTGGTTCTTCAATTATTTCTTGGCGAGCAAATAAACAACTCGCTGTCTCAAGATCAATTGCAGAAGGGTGAGTTAGTATGGTTTGACTAACTTATTGCAGGAACTTGGTATTCCTCTGGTTAACTCTACGCCAGGATTTTCAAGATATTTCATGTGGAGCAAATGTTATTAGTAGTGTTCAATACTTTTGTCTCACTTTGAGGAGAAATTTTGTGATCTAGTATCAATCAAGTGTGTAATTCGATGTGTAAAGCTATATTTTGGTTTAAGACTCCAGTCTGTGATGGTCTAACCTTGATAGAAAAAGAAATCGATGAATGTACTTTGGTATTTAATCAGATTAACCGAAGTGAACCAAATAGAATTTACTAAAAAAGAGATGTTAAAACATTGAATTAAGTCTAATTTTCGATTTTTGAACACAATGTACAGTATTTTTTCTATACACTCTTAACTCTGAACCGAAAAGGCAACCCAAACCGAAACTCGATCTAAACCTGGACGGCTGGACCTAAACCAAATGATCTAATACGATATCGGTTTTAGTTTGTACTGTTTTGTCAAGGAAAACCGCAAACCCGGATAACTCGAACCGGATCAAATTTCGCTTATAAAAACTCAAAAAGAAAAACAAATCGCTCGTCTTTCCGGATTTGCGCGCCGCGTCGTGCCCTACTTGACTCAAACTCCATCAACCTACCCAAGCAAGCTTTTGTCCATATTCGATCTTAATCCCAATTTTGCTTTCGTGTCTCTCAGGTTTGTTTCCAGTCTCAAAGTAATTTAACTGAGTCTACTTGTTCTGATTCTGTTTCGTAATGCACTGACTCATTGAAACCAGTGATTGAATCGTTGCGTCGAATTGACTGCTCTCTGAGGCAGAACCCTAATTTAGGGTGAGGGGCTTTGTTGAAAACCAGCCTTGAGCTAGTCTGAAAAATTATTCGAGTTTGCTTGCTAGAAAATATGATTAATGTCTGTTTTGATTATGATTTCTCGTTGATGAATCATGTAATTTTAAATCCTACATGATTTTGATTTACTCATCAATTTTCAGATACAGGCTTAAATGTGTCAGAAGAAGGAGAAACCAAGTGGAAAAGATTCGAAAGAGAAGAAACCAAAGCAGAGTTCATCATCCACATCCAAGAATGATCAAAATACTTCATCCTACACTGATGGCATAAATTTTCCTCCTCAGGAAGTCGAAGAGGAAGGCGATGAGAAGGAGGGAAAGATGGAAGCAAGGAGGAATCAGAGGAGCGAACAAATGCAGACTGATACCTCCGTGACTGATGATAAGAAACAAAAGAAGCTAGAGAAGAAGAAGAAAGAAAGATTAGCGAATGCAAAGATCAGTGAGGACTTGAAGAACGACCGTGATGCATTCACGGTTGTTATTGGAAGCAAAGCTTCGGTGCTCGAAGGAGAAGACACAGCTGATGCGAATGTTCAAGATATATCCACCGGTTCTTTTTCCGTTTCGGTTTGTGGGAAAGAACTCATGAAGAACGTATCTTTGAAGCTATCACATGGAAGAAGGTATGGTTTTGTAGGGAAGAATGGAACTGGGAAGTCTTCACTGTTGAAGCTTTTAGAATGGAGGATGATTCCAGTTCCCAAGAATATCAGTGTTCTTCTCGTCGACCAAGAAGTGCCTAGTGGTGAAACGAGTGCTCTGGACTTAGTTGTTTCCGCCAATGAAGAGTTGGTTAAGCTACGTGAAGAGGATAAAGCTCTGCAGAAGGATTCGTCTTCTGGAGTAGATGATGATGATTCTGGAGAAAAGCTTGCTGAATTGTACAAGAGGCTAGAGGATTTGGGGTCAGATTCTGCTGAACCACGTGCGTCCAAGATTCTTGCGGGCTTAGGTTTCACAAACGATATGCAAGTGCGTGCAACTCAATCGTTCAGTGGTGGCTGGAGGATGAGAATATCGTTAGCTAGAGCTCTCTTTATGCAACCTAGTCTTTTGTTGTTAGATGAACCCACAAACCATCTCGACCATAAAGCTGTTTCATGGTTAGAAGAGTACTTGTGTTCCTTGAAGAAAACGCTTGTTGTTGTCTCACATAACCCGGACTTCCTCAACAAAGTCTGCACAAATATAATACATCTGCATGACAAGAGTCTCGACTTCTTTCGTGGTAATCACGACGATTTCAAATTTGCATATGAGAAGCAATGCAATGAGGTGAAGAAAAAGTTTGAGATTCAAAGGAAACGAGATGAAGCAGCTAAGAGGTCTGGAAACAAGGCTCAACAGGAGAAGTTTGCAGAGAGAAAAACAGCTAAGGGTAAGACAAAGGGTAAGGAGATGGATGAAGAAGGCCCAACACCACTAAAACCTCCAAGAAAGCTGAAAAGTATCGTGTTAGATTTTCCAGAACCAACCAAACTCCCTGATCCTCTTCTGAAACTAAAGGTTAGCTTCTGGTACACTGAAAAGCCAGAGTTCAAGCTCTTAGATGTTGATCTATGTATCAATATGGGTACACGGGTCGCTATAGTTGGGCCAAACGGAGCTGGAAAGTCCACTCTGTTGAAACTTATTGCGGGAGATTTAGTTCCAACCGAAGGTGAAGTGTTAAGAAGCCAGAAGCTGAGGATTGGCATGTACTCTCAGCACTTTGTTGACCAGTTAACTATGGAGGAAACACCGGTTAAGTATCTTCTCCGCCTTTGTTCTGACCAAGAGGAATTTAGCAAGGAAGAACCGGTACGTGCAAAACTAGGCAAGTTTGGGCTACCAGGTCACAGACACGTAGCTTCAATCTCGGAATTGTCAGGAGGAGAAAAGGCTAGAGTTGTGTTAGCCTCGATCTCAATGTCGAAGCCACACATTCTGCTTCTTGACGAGCCAACAAATCACTTAGACGAGCAGACTAAAGATGCGTTGGCGAAAGCATTAGATGAGTTCACAGGAGGAGTTGTGTTGGTGAGTCACGAGCCGGGACTCGTATCACTTGTCTGTAAAAATGTGGACAAGAGTGAAATTTGGGTCGTAGAGGACGGAACCGTGACTGTCTTCCCAGGCTCATATGAAGAGTACAAGGAAAATCTATAAACAGAAACCAACACAGAGGTTGATGGATGAATTTTGTATTTGTTGCCTTGTTGGCTTCTAAGACAAACTCACTCTCCTTTGTATTTATTAACACTTGAGAAGTCGTAAACGATTTATTTTAGCCATCGTGTTTTTTTCTCATCATCTATGCGTTGCGTGATAATTAAGGTTAAATGTTAATGACATGACACCATATGCATAACATCTATGAAACTAGACTATTTAGGCTGCATAGATTTTTATGAAACTGAATCTTGAATTTTCGAACGATAATGGTGATGAGTTTGGTAGATGCAAAATCTTAATCGTCGGCTCTTTTATGCCATGCTGATTAGGCCTAGGTTTTATTAAAATTCAAAACGGAGATCGTATAAAAAAATATGGTACAGGTTTTGGTTACAACTATTTTAAAACCGAATCACTTGAACTTAAACCGAAAGGAAACCAGATTTTGACCACTGTCACCACCCTTTGTACAATATATCGGTTCGGTTCAGTATCTTTTCTTTTCCTACAATTTCTATTTGTGCAACTCCGGTTCAATGAGAGACTTTGGGCCGAATTGCTTTAAAAATTAGAAAAGGGTTAAAACCCAATCTCTTTCATTGTTACCTCGATTGTGATTCTTCTTCATACAACAATCTTCTTCATTGCTTTTGCGCCGCGTTGTCTCTCTCAAAACTCCCTCAACCTCTCGATCAATTCCTCCAGAGCAAGTATTCAATCTTAATCCGAATTTGGTTTCGCCATCTCTCAGGTTTGTCTCGAATCCCAATAGTAACTCAAGCGAAGATTGATTAGTCTAATTGTTCCCGTCATGTTCGTATTTCACAGGTGGTAGAAACTTTACCTAGATTTGTCGAGATATATTTATCTTGAGAGTATATAGATTTGGAATCCAAAATTTTCTCGTGATGATTTAGGTAAACGAAACCCAGTAATTGAAACCTCTGGATCGAGTTAGTAGAATCCCTAATTAGGGGGCTCTGTTCAGAATCAGAACCAGCTCTGAGTTTCGAAGATTGTCGAGTTGTTTGCTACATAATATGATATCTGTCTGGTTGATTTTGATTTCTCGTTGATAAGTATGTAATTGGAGCTAGGAAAAAAAATCCCCAAAATTTATATGATTCTGATTACTCATCGGCTTTTATAAAAAGAAATTGTCGTCTCATGTCAGATACAGATTTAAATGGGTAAGAAGAAGTCAGATGAGAGTGGGAAGCCAAGTGGAAAAGATTCTTCTAAAGAACCGAAAAAGGAGAAACTATCAGTCTCAGCGATGCTTGCAAGCATGGAGCCGAAAGATGATAAACCCAAGAAAGCTTCATCATCCAGAGCCTCTTCTTCATCCAGAGCCGCTTCATCATCCAGAGCCAGGACTGTTCCAAATAAAGGTTACATGGAAGACATAGATCTTCCTCCTTCATCAGAAGAAGACGAGGGCACTTCTGATGGGGAACAGAAACAGAAGTTAAAGCAGAAGAGCGAACAGAGGCATCTTGATATCTCTGTGACCAATAAGGAACAGAAGAAGCGAGAGGCCAAAGAAAAAGCAGTTCTCCAGGCTGCAGAGCTTGCAAAGAGGGAGGCCTTGAAGGACGACCATGATGCATTCACGGTTGTTATTGGAAGCAAGACTTCCGTGCTCGAAGGAGAAGACATGGCTGATGCGAATGTTAAAGATATAACGATAGATTCTTTTTCCGTCTCTGCGCGAGGTAAAGAACTTTTGAAGAATGCATCAGTCAAGATTTCACATGGAAAAAGGTACGGATTGGTCGGGCCGAATGGAATGGGGAAGTCTACACTGTTAAAGCTTTTAGCATGGAGGAAGATTCCAGTTCCGAAGAATATTGATGTTCTTCTTGTTGAGCAAGAGGTGGTCGCTGATGAAAAGAGTGCTCTGGAAGCAGTTGTTTCTGCCAATGAAGAGTTGGTTAAGCTAAGGGAGGAGGTTGCAGCTCTGCAGAATTCGTCTTCTGGAGCTGACGGAGATAATGGTGACGAAGATGATGATTCTGGAGAGAAGCTTGCTGAATTGTATGAGAGGCTAGAGATCTTGGGGTCAGATGCTGCTGAAGCACAGGCTTCCAAAATACTTGCGGGGTTAGGTTTCACAAAAGATATGCAAGTCCGTGCAACTCAATCGTTCAGTGGTGGCTGGAGGATGCGAATATCGTTAGCTAGAGCTCTCTTTGTGCAACCTACTCTTTTGTTGTTAGATGAACCCACCAACCATCTCGACCTGAGAGCTGTTCTCTGGTTAGAGGAGTATCTGTGTCGCTGGAAGAAGACGTTGGTAGTTGTTTCACATGACCGAGACTTCCTCAACACTGTCTGCACTGATATAATACATTTGCATGACCAGAATCTCCACTTCTATCGTGGTAACTTCGATAGTTTCGAAACTGGATATGATCAGCGACGCAAGGAGATGAACAAAAAGTTTGAGAAATATGAGAAACAGGTTCAAGCAGCTAAGAGATCTGGAAACCGTGCTCAACAGGAGAAGGTAAAGGACAGGGCCAAGTTTGCTGTGGCGAAAGAAGCATCCAAGAGTAAAGCAAAGGGTAAGGCGATAGATGAGGATGGCCCAGCACCGGAAGCTCCGAGGAAGTGGAGAGATTATAGCGTGGAGTTCCATTTTCCAGAACCAACCGAGCTCACTCCTCCTCTTCTGCAGTTGATTGAGGTTAGCTTCTGCTACCCCAATAGGGCAGATTTCAGGCTCTCAGATGTTGATGTAGGAATTGATATGGGTACACGGGTCGCTATAGTTGGGCCTAATGGAGCTGGAAAATCTACTCTTTTGAATCTACTTGCGGGAGATTTAGTTCCTACCGAGGGTGAAGTGAGAAGAAGCCAGAAGCTGAGGATTGGCAGATATTCTCAGCACTTTGTTGACCTGTTAACAATGGGGGAAACACCGGTTCAGTATCTTCTTCGCCTTCATCCAGACCAAGAGGGATTTAGCAAGCAAGAGGCGGTGCGTGCGAAGCTGGGCAAGTTTGGACTAGCAAGTAACAATCACTTAACTGCGATTGCGAAATTGTCTGGTGGACAAAAAGCTAGGGTTGTGTTCACTTCAATCTCAATGTCTAAGCCACACATTTTGCTTCTTGACGAGCCTACGAATCACTTAGACATGCAGAGTATAGATGCGTTAGCAGAGGCACTAGAGGAGTTCAGTGGAGGAGTGGTGCTTGTGAGTCACGACTCGAGACTCATATCACGTGTGTGTCAGGATGAAGAGAAGAGTCAGATTTGGGTTGTAGAAGACGGAACAGTGTCTTTCTTCGATGGCACATTTGATGAGTACAAAGAAGATCTTCAAAGAGAAATCAGAGAAGAGGTTGATGAGTGAAGTTTTGTTGTTGGCTTCTAATGGTAAAACAGTAAACTCAACTCCTTTTTATATTCAGAACAGACTTGAAAACTTTTGGACAAATTTTATTTCTTTTAGACATTGTGTGTTTTCATCATACATATATGCGTTAATGATATGACACTAAATTCCTCTTCCCCGTTTTACATATTCGAGTGTAGTATTATGTTTTAATTTAGTTGTCTGAAAATTTTCTCTTGTTTAAATAGCCTCTACAGAATCCATAAAACAAATTTGTCAAGTTATTTGGTGTTACATCTCTTATTACAAAAATTCGAAAATTCTAATCTTCAAAACAAACATTTTTGCCGGTTTTTTCTTGGGTTCGTTTAGCACGAACATAAGGAGCCAACCATTTGTTTAACACATACTCTGCTCTCCTCCATGGCGGCACGGGAAGCCCTTTTTTCTTCATGCTTTTCTTTGCAGCATCAGACACAACAAACACAATCTTCTTTAGCCGATCCACTTGTCCCACAAAAACGTAAGGAAGTGTTTGTGATATCGACTTATAGGTCTTGGTAGGTCGAGCAATCTGGAATTTCGACTTGAAATCAATGTCGATCAACACTCTTTCTCCTCCAATCATCACATCCAAATAATTATATTCTCCTGTTACCATGGCTTTGCAGTTATTATAACTTTAAGGTGGATCAGATGAAAAACAAAAACAAAATTAGAAGAAACGTACCAGCAAGACAAACAAGCTTTCTCGATTGCTTCCAACGAGATTTGCATATTGCTGCATCGTAGCCTAAAGCCACCAATTCATCAACCAGAGTTTGCAACTTTGAATCGTGATTGTTCTTCTCGACGATCTCAGTCGTCTTTTGCACCAGGTCCCTCTCTCCCTCGGAGATGTTAGCACAAAGAAGCAGATTCTACAACAAAAAAAAAAAAAAAAAAAATCTTCGAAATTGTGTATACAATCATAATTTTGCTTAAACGTTAATCAAACAAACCTTGACGCTTCTAAGAAATCCCCCAGATGAGGAATATTCTTTTTCAGAGGAGCTATCGGTGCCACTCCCGCTGAAACAGTTGTTGCAGCTGTTGCGGCCACCACACCGTTGTTCTCCACTGTCGGGATCCTCCATGTAGTTCTGAACCAACTTTCTCAGACAAACAGAGCTTGGTTCGAACTCATCTCCATTGTCTCTCGAGAGCGATTGATTTCCAACTGATATGTTTTTCAGGCTAAACTGTCGCTCAAAGAGCTGTTTCAGTCGCGATTTCGGCATCTGACTCATCGCTGGTGGGAAAGGTGTCTCCTTTGCTACCCCATCGCCGATGATCGGTTGGATTCTTGTACGGTACGGCATTTTTTTTTCAAGTTTCTCTCAAGCAAATATTTTAAGAGGGAGTTTTTTCTTGTACCTGCAAAAGTCTCAGAGAAGTCAAACAAATATTTGCTTAGGGAAAAAAAAATATTAAAAAATAATAATATATATAGAGGGACGTAAAGCAAAATGAGAAGAAACAAGTTTCACAATCAAGACAAACAAAAAAATATAAGGGTTCCTTGGTAATTGGTATAAATTGTTCTTGTACACTTTAACTTTAAAATCAATCTTACAAAAATTTTACTGTTCAAATAAAAACTGTGGTTTAAAAAATATAATTGAAAAATGTGACTTTAGAAAATTAAGAATTTTAGAGAGTAAGAAAATGAGCAGTTCAAATTTTAAAACATTAGAGAAAAAAAGCATACTTAACAAAATTTTGACTTTTAAATCTTTAAAAAAAAAATCCGAAAAGTCTAACACCAAACACACCATAATTGAGAAAATCCAAACTGTTATGATCAGTACATATTTAAATTTTGGCTAAGAACATTTAAAAAAAAAACTTAAAGATCTAACTAGAAAAACAAAAAAAGATAAAAAGGGAAATACTACTCATATTGAGAGTTCTTAGATACTAATAACAACACAAACACACATGAGAAATTGATGAGAATCACAATTCCATCTAAATTCTTTCATTCTGAACTGGATGACATCTGAGGCAAACCAATTTGAATCATTGTAATAATATATGGAATAGTTTGCGCAAAAAAGAAAATATATAATCAAAGTCTGAGTGATAGTATTTACTTAGATCTCGCCTAATGTATACAATGCTGGATTTTTTTTTTCTTTTTTTTAATCAAGCAAGAACTTTCAGAAAAAAAACTAATCTTTGAGAGAGATTTGGTTTTGGTCGATTTGTCGATCTCTCGATATTGATATTCTTATATAACTTTTCACACATGTTAAAGAAACTAGTTTTTGTAGTAATAAGTCACGGCAAAACCAATAATAAGTTGACGCGTGTACACATAAAACTATATTTTGATGTAAATCAATGTACCGGACTATATTTACGTCTACAATGATTTTTTGTTATACGCGAATCAATATTATCTTTACATAATAAAAAAGTTCAAAGTAAATTTATCTTACCAAATTATTATATGTAAAGTTCATAAATTCTAATAAACTTAACAGTAATAAATTATATACTATAAAACAAAACTGAGAACAATAAATAGTTTTAGTCAAATTGCATTCATCTTGTCTACAATATTAATTGTATTGCATAATAAAACAAATAGAACACAAATCATAATCCTAACATATTTAAGACGTAACGACTGTAAATCACAAAGTCTTTTAATAACAACTCATTCATTACAAAGATTTTTCTCTGTAAATCTAAAATCATTTAAACTATTGCCTCATATGAGGTGAATATTATCATCAATTATGAAATCAACATTGTTAGTATATTAAGTAGTAACATAACTCCATCTTTGTTCAAGATACGATTCCAATACTAAGTAAATGCATACTCGAGTGAGTGAGCGAAGACGAACATCACCAAAAACATTTTTTTCCATTCCTGATAAAATAAAAATGGATAAATTTTGATGTTTGCAAACTTGAAACGCCAATATGCTGTCTTTTGGATTCTCAGTAATCTCCATTAGTTAATAAGAGTAAGAGTCCATTTGAATTCATATAGATTAGTTAGATGAAGAACTTGATTTAATGTCTCTTTTTTTTGTTTGATGACTTTATTCACTTTTATAAAATGTTATCGCTAGAGAGTCGCAATCTATCTGACTGACTTTTTTTTTTTTTTTTTAAAATAGTGAATAAAAGCTCATAAACAAATTTGTGGAGGGTATAATGGCAAAATGAGAAAAACATTTTGAAGTTCCAAGCAAAATTTTTACCGCCTAGTGTAAGGTTCCCTCCAAGATTTTTAAAATATTTAAAAACTCCCACCAAACTTGCAATTTTAAAACTCCCACCCCATTCAATTAGTCCAGATTTCGTTTCTTCGTCCTTTCATTTTTCTCTCGTTATCTCAGGTACTTGGTCTCTCTTCTCTCTCTCTCCACGAATCGGGATTTGCTTGTGTTTATCGACCAAACGCTCCAGATCTTGTGTTGTTTGGTGTAGTCTTCTATTAGATTCTCCGATTCTTCGTGCTTCTACAATAGATCTGGTACATAATCTTGTTTTCTTGTTTTTGTTTGAATATGTATGGTTAGATCTAGAAAAAGGCAGCATCAATTTCAGCGAACATGGCGGGCAAGGGAGGGAAAGGGCTTGTAGCTGCAAAGACGATGGCTGGTAACAAGGACAAAGACAAGGACAAGAAGAAACCCATATCTCGCTCTGCTCGTGCTGGTATTCAGGTAATTCCCTCAAACCAGTACAAATTGAGATATTTAGGACAAAGATCTGTGTATTTGGTTTATGTAAAAGCGACAGTGTTATTTTTTTCAAAGTACAAATGTTTCTTTTGCCATGCCTTACTTGCGTTTATGTGTTCCCAATGTTTGACTTAATTTTTAAAATGTTATTCTGTAGATCTAAAAATTCTTTTTTATTTGTGTGTAGCTATTTATTGGTTGCTGGTTGCGTTGAATACTTGTATATCTCAGTCTATATATTGTTGTTTTGTCATATGTTAGGACTTAGGAGCCCCCAAGTTGTTTAGCTAGTATTTTAAAAGTCCCAAAGATTTCAATTCTCTGAAGCTTAATTTTTGTACTCACGAGGCCATATGGGTTTTGTTTGGGATTAGAGCCATGCTATAGTAAACTGTTTTTCATCTGCTTTTTGAATGAAGCTTAATATCAAATAAAGTTTGTTAAGATGAATTTATCTGCCTCATAAGAAACCTTTTGAGTATAATTATGGTAATCATTGTATAGACGTTTTGCATACCATACATGTTCTGTTTTCCTTGTCACCTATCTCTACTCTGTTATGATATTTAATGTAGTGCATAGCCATACAAGTAGAAAGATCGGTCTTATGATGTTGAGGCTTTCTTTGCTTTCTAATTGTATGAAATCTCACTTGGATGCTGTTTGAATTTTTATTTTTATTTTTTTAGTTTCCAGTGGGCCGTATTCATAGGCAACTCAAGACTAGAGTTTCTGCACATGGAAGAGTTGGTGCCACTGCTGCTGTTTACACGGCTTCGATTCTTGAGTACCTAACTGCAGAAGTTCTTGAGTTAGCTGGAAACGCGAGCAAAGATCTGAAAGTGAAGAGGATAACTCCAAGGCACTTGCAGTTGGCTATCAGAGGAGATGAGGAGCTTGACACGCTCATCAAAGGAACCATTGCTGGAGGAGGTGTGATCCCTCACATCCACAAGTCTCTCATCAACAAAACCACCAAGGAGTGATCTGTTTCTTAAACCATTGAGGTTCTGTGATTTGCTATAGTTAGTTGTTTATGATGTTTGTGTTTGTTTAGTGTCGGACTGCTTTTCCTTTTCTTATTAGTTCCTTGATAAATGTTGCTCTCTCCTGGACATCCTCAGGTGTACATGAGTTAATTTGAACTCTTAGGCTTCTCGTTTGAGCAAATGTTAAATCAGGAAATGTTAATTGGGTTGTATTGAAGTTCCATGCTCTTGTGATTTGCTTCTGTCAAGTGACAAGTAAACCATTTTCAGTGATTTATTGACCGAGGAGATCATTTGGTCCCATGCAGAGTGCCCTTGATATATAAGAGCTTGTATACGAAGAATGCATTGTTCAAAGATTTTATTTTAACATGAAATGTAACATCAATCAACATTTATTAGATTTATGGATTCCAAATTGCGCTCACCAGACATAAACTAGGCTCGAATACACCAAATATTCATTGTAGATATAAGCACAATCCATTCATTTAAAAACAAAAAGACTTCAGTCACTTTTCGCTGACTCACAAGCGTTAAGGCTTTGTCATAATGTTAATTTCCTTTCTTAGTGTGCTTGAACTTGAAGAAACCAAAGAATCCAAAAAAGAGGAGACTGATAGCGATCTAAGTTCAATAGAAATGAACTTGTTGCCGGAAAATAAATTCAAGATTGGAATTCAGAGAAGTAATACACTACAAGAAAACATGCCATATTCTTACGAAAATTCCTACGAAAATTTCTACGAATGTATTTGGTAGAAATATTTTTCACCAATTATTTACGCAATTATGACGAAAAATAAAAGTGGTAAGAAATATGTAAAAAATTTCATACGAAAAAAATGTCAAAAAATGGTAGGATATATCCAACCAATAACCTACCAAATTTATTTTCGTAGAAAATACGGTCAAAAAATGTCAAAAAGTGGTAGGATACCAAATTTATTTTCGTAGAAAATATGTAAAATATTTTCGTAGAAAATATGGTAGGAAAGTTGTAGGATCCAATTGACTGTTACATTGATGGAAATTTCGTAGGAAATTGTTCTACGGATTTCTTACGAAATATTGTTTGTAGAAAAATCGAAAGAATTTTGTAGGAAAATATGTTTTTTTGTTTGTTCCACATAGAAAAGTTAAGAATTTAGATGAAGAAACTGCACTATAAATTAAAATTTTTCTACGGATTTTCTACGAAATAGCGTTTGTAGAAAAAATCGTAGGAATTTCGTAGGAAACTTATGTTTTTTTATTTGTCCCACATCGACAATCTAAGTTAATTAAGGTGAAGAAGTTGTTCTATAAATAAGAGTCTTCACTTTCTCTCCCTCTAACTAATAATTACTTAGTCAAATTTTAGGCTCATAGTAATTAGAGAATTTATTTTGTTTTTTGTATTTATTTCATAAATCAAATTTATAATTAATTTATATTTTAATTTAAATTCAATTTCCGATTTTAATTTAATTTGATTTTTATAAAATTATATTGGTAGGAAATTGGTAAGAAATTAGTAGTAAAAGATTAGTAAAAAAATCGTAGGAAATAGGTAAGTGATGTTTCGTAGGAAATTGAAAGGAACACTAATCGATAGAAAATGGTAGTAATTTGGTAGGAAAGTTCTACTAAAATTTCCGTAGGAAAACTATCCAACCAACATTTTTGTTGGAATTTTCCTACCATTTTTTTACCTTCTACAATTTCCGACGGCCGATTTCATATGACAAAATTTTGTAAGAATTTGGTAAAAAAGAGCCGTTTCCTACGTTTTTCTGGCGATATTTTCCGTAGGTTTTCGGCATGTTTTTTTGGTAGTGATAGTCTTAGTTAAATTAAAAATAAGAAAGAAATTTCTTGTTTGTTTGAAGTGTGATTATTTGATTAGGAAATCATAAAAATATTGCAAAGACGTGATTTGTGTTTAGTTTAGGAAATTTGAGATATATGTTAAGCTCATGACTCTCTTGAAAAGACACCCCAAAGAGAAGAAACTTGGAATTTTTTTTATGAGATTGCATAGTTGTTGATATGGTTATAATGGAATTTTGATTGAATGATTGTGGTTCTTTTTCTTTTTCTTGAAGAGTTTATGATAATACAACTGAAACCACTTAATTCCGATGGTGAATTAAAAGTTTATGGTGTAGCGGGTTTAGCTCTCATCGCTAGATTTTTTTTTCTCTTTCTTGAAGAGTTTCTGGCGCTATAATTGGTTGCGTGATTATGCATGTTTCCGAACAAGACTACAGTAGAATTAAAATTTTAAATAATCCGTGCAATTTAGGTATGCAATCCAAATACAAAACTCACGTCGGAGGATTACATAGTTATCCAAAGCTACCAAGTCAAGAATAAGCAAATACGAAATCACATTTTGCAAAGGCGTACAAATAGATTGCAAGCAATCATTACACAAAAGAAAAAGAAAAAGAAGCGAAAGTTAGAAAAATGAAATCAAATTAAACTCGGTAGCTTATTTAAGAATCGCAATTTACTGTTTTCAGTAATATGCAGGTGGGGGTGAAGTTT